ATATATATATATATATATTTGGATTGTGTTACTGTATTTTTTTTAAATTAAGTCCCATTTAGTTTTGAGTCAACCAGTTGTTCATGTTAACACCAGTAATAATCATTTTTACCATTTTAACTGCTCTCAGAGCTGCCTTAGATGAAATATAAAAGAGGTATTGGTGAAAATGTCTCCATGATTTCAAGTTAACAAAAATCACTTTCTCTTTGCTGCCCAGATGAGCCTCCCATGTCGGAGCTCGGTCACACCAACAGCATCTACAGCAGCCTGAGTGAGTCCTCCCCAGCCATGGGGGGCCGCCAAGGAGGCAACAACAACAACTCCTTCCCTCTGGAGCATGGCTTGCTTCCTTCCCAGGACCAGTTTCATGATATCCGGTCCAGCAGCCCCTACGGCCTCCCCCAATCACCCGGGTCACTTCATGCGCTCCCGAGACATCAGCCTCTCATCTCCAGCCTTGTCTACCCTGACTCAGGCCTTTCCATCATGACCCAGAGCGGTGGACCCGGTATCAACCCTGCTGTAAGGGGTTCCATAGGAGCAGCCAACGGGCCCAGCTCAGACCTGTCCACCGGCAGCAGCGGTGGGTACCCAGATTTTCCTGCTAGTCCTGCATCCTGGTTAGATGAGGTGGACCATGGACAGTTTTGATTGGTCCACAGAGACTCAAATCATTTACTTACTTTCTTTTCAGTGTCTTCTGTTGGGTTCAAGAAATACAACACAATTCCTCATTTCAAAACTAAAGGCCTACCACGAGTTTTTCTGTCGAAGCATCACATTTCTGATACCACTATAAGCTTTTTTTGAAACAGAAACCACAAACTCAGATTTGGACATTTGGTATGCAGACGGTTTTGTTGTTGGCATCTCGTTCCACTGCTCTTTTGTTAACCTCAGCATGTTCAGGTGATGAATCCAGTTCAACAGTTGGAGTCTTTAAATGTCTGGTTGTTGCCAAATGTCTATATATATATATAAATATAAATGGTTTATCATCGTGGAGACTTTATTTTTATACAAACCTCTTGTTGAACACACAGAAGAACCTGAGCATGAGGACTTTGTACATTGTTGAGCTGGGATTTAGGCGAATATGTAGATGTTGTCTTAAACGGTACCTTGGGGTCCAATTACTACTATGCATTTGTGTGTTCTCGGATGTATCTCATCTGTTTCGTTGTACTGCAAACCATCTCAAAGAAGAACCGCAGCAACAAGGGAAGAGGGCGAGGGGAGTGGTGTATATGTTTGTTTATGTGGAGAATGTTTTATGTATTATTTATTCCCTCTGGTAATGATTCATATTTAAATGGTAGGACTTTAATAAATTTGTCATCTAAATGAATATTGAGTTTAATGCTTTTTTGTTGTTGTTATTGTTGGTAGTGAAACACAAATGCACATTTTATGGGCTAAAAGGAGAAACATATGATCACTGTAGGGAGATTTCACGTCTGGGGAATGGTTGCAAACAAATATCTTACCTGTCGTAGATAGCTTTTTTAATCAAACTTTAAAGCTAACAGCTGGCAATGCAACATTAAACTGGATATTTTGTCTTTAAATAACTTGTATCTCACAAATTTCACAGCCCTTCATGCAAACCTTTTATAAAACTTAACACCAGGCAGCTCCAAAAGGTCTAACAGCTTCAAACTGTGATGGCATGATACAGACGTCTGGGACGGGTACATGGAACGATGTCAGGTTCTCACAGAGTGAGTGAACATTTCTTTTAGCTGCATTTTGTTAACTGGCATGACAGAAAAGAAATGGAGGAACATCTAAATGCTCAACATCAAACAAAGTGTAGGTTCAGAAGGATGCAGAATCGTAAAGTTCTGTTTGTTTTCCATCTGCTCTGCAGTCCCTGTGATTGTGCACGGCTGCCATGGATGTGAGCTGCCAGTATGGCAAAAAGTCACATCATAGAATATGTTTTTATGGCAAGCCCTTTGCATATTCATTCATTCTGCAATCAAGCACCATTTTACTGCACAAGCACTCATCTAGCTGAGAAAACTGAGTGTTTCACATTTTATTTGTTTTGTTAATTAAACATTATTTAAATCTGTGCTGCTTTTTCATTTTGTTTTTGATCAAGTCTAAGTAAAATAATTGAAAAATGAAACACTCCATTGTTTGTTTTAACCCAAGAAAGATGCACCTTTCTGAAGTTTATCAAACTTTTTGTATGACTCATGGCCTGTAGGTAGATTGCATACAAAGACATTAAAATACTTTATGTCATGATGAAGATCCCATGGGACAAATTCAGTGTTGTTGCTACCTTAGAACATCAGCCCTTACAAGAGCATTTTGTTTTCTCTGTTTGTGTTTCTGGGAGAAAAAATTGTCTGTTTAGAAAAAGAACATTTAATTTATAAAGAATAATCCAGCTTATATTTTTGTTTTGTTTTGTATTTGTTGTACCAAACCCATACAAGCCATGACCCGAGTACTGAGGTAACAAATAAGGATGTGATGCAAAATTAGCTTTGACACTGATATAAAGGTTTTTCTTGTTGTGCTTTTGTTTTTTAAAAGCTACTTTTGATTTTTTTTTTTTTTTTTTTTAAACTGGCAATGTTTAAGATGTCAGCAATCCAGTTTGTTTTTGGCTACACTAGTTTGTCAGTCTAATAAAAACATAGTTGTTTCTTCAAACACAGGTTTTTTTTTTTTTTAAATGCCCATCTACAACAGGTGAGATAGTGATTGTTCACATTTTCATCAAGCTTCAAAAAAATCTGAAGAATTTGAATAAATAAGAAAAAGAGTTCAAAGATTTAATTAACGTATACATTTCCAAATTATCCAACAAACAAACAGGTGTGTGTGTTCAGGTGTTCTTACATATTTATCTTGCACGTCTACAGCACATCACCACTCTGATGGTGAAACCAGAGAAAGCCTGTGTCCTCAAATTGAGTGTCTGGCGATCTACCAAGCCTGTATCTGGGGTTCTTCGGCTCTTTAGTGGAGAAATTTGATGCAGTCAACTCATCAATTCAGAGATTACCGGGTCTTGTTTGCCCAAATGCCCCTATGGGAAAGGAATCTCCAATCCATTATCCAAGAAGGGATCGAGTGCCCCTCGTGAATTTCCTCATTTGTTTAGTTATTCAAAGTCACGTTCAATTAAATAGATTAAACAGTAAATGTCTCCGTGTTTACGTGAGCGCGTGCACGGCAGTGTTTGTGCGTGCACTCGCCCGTTTATGTATCTTCTCCGCTAATAGTTTGTGGGATGTCTCTACGGATGGATGCATTTGTTTGTTTATGAAGACTGCCTCTCGTAATCTTTAAGTGATGAAAATGACAAATTTGTCAATTCCAATACGACATATTTTATGCTGTTGGTTTTGAGCTATTTAAAAAAATAATAATTTCATTCATTGTGGAAAAATGAATCCTGTTTATCTGTGCGCTACATTTTAATATATTTATAAGAACCATAAAAATTTCTAGACTAATTTATTCTATGCAATTACAATCTCCGTGTTCACTATTTTATATGTGATGTGATTATTTTGGAACAAAAATACAGAACATTTAATTGAAACAATTGCCATATTGCATTGAATTTTATTTACATTTTTATCTAAAATTGTAGTTTTAAAGCAAATATAGTCTGCAATTAATAATAAATAAAAGATTACAGAAAACATGCCCACATTTTTATCATTATTGAAAATTAAATATTCTCCAAACTCAAATTTCTTCACTAACAGACGCAAATTAGGTATTTTCTTGATGTTGAATATATTCTGCATAGGGTTTGTAAAAATAAGACTTCAGATCCTGATGAAATAAAGGTTAAATGAGCAGAAAACAGTCACGTCATTAATTATTGTAGGAACTTTGGCAACAATAACGCATCAAGAAGCTTCATTTCACTTCATTTCTGCCACTTCTCAAGGACTCTGTGTGTTTTTTTTAAATCTTCATCCGAATGTTGTGTGAGTCAAATCAATTTCTTATTTGTTGATTTTTCCTACTTGGCTTAAAAAAATCATATAGATAATAGCTTCTACACTTTAAATTAAATTCCCTCCTCATTTCTGTTATTGTTGCTTTTATGATACTTTTATCCTTCTAAGCCATAGCAAAGCAGGCCCACAGCATGATAACACCTCTAACGTGTTTTAATATAGGGAGGGGGTCACTCTTTTTTAACAGCAAATAACTGATATCCATTCTGAACAACCTCCACTTTTATCAAAGTTACATTGAAGACTGCAGCTCATCTGAGAGGAGTTTTTGCGAACAGTATGTTTTTGTAATTTCTATCTGCTTTCGTCTTTGAACATAAGAGGAAGCAGACCTTAAACATATTTTAGCTTAGCTTGAATTTCAGATGGCATGTCAAGATTTTACAGCTTTTTGTCTGTGGGGGTTTATTATGGCAAACATGTAATATATGAACATGCATGACGGCGAGGTCCAGCTGTCCTTATACCTTTTGTTTTTCAAGTGCAACCCCAAACTTCCTCCAGCACTAAAGCCTGCCTGCTCTGCTCCTCAAATTCCCACGACAAGAAAAGGAACATCAGCTGAGCCCTTCCAGCCGAGCAGCATGTATCATTGTTGCTTCGCTAAAGGCACCAGGTGTGTAACTCGACCCAAAGAGCGTTTGGTAAATGCAGCAAGGAGGTGAGAGTGAAGAGTCAACAACTCCCACAGTCATTAGTTAGTTGTTTGTCTAAGTGTTGCATAAATGAAGCACTTTATTTAAAGTTTAGGGGCTGACCATAAGGGGCCATTTTATTTCTGTGAATCTTATGTTCCCCTAAGATTCTCTTGTTCTGTGAGTCTCTGCCCCAACAGGTGTGGGATTCTGACGACTGTGAGATGAAGTCTTCTGAACAAAAAACTGGGATTATCTCGTCCCACTCTTCTAGATTGAGTTGGAAAGCCAGCGTTTTACGAAAACAGGATTAGATCAGGTTGAGAGTGCAATCTATAGATGGGTTCAATATGATTAGTTAGCTAACAGCGTCTCACTGGGTGAGCAACTGGTGGGAAAGAGATGTGAGACAAAAGAGCAAAACGAAGGGAAATATAAACCAATATAACTATTGGAATGCACAAAATTATGTATTTATATAACATTATGACAAAACAATAAAGGAATCAATACTCTCTTCACATCCATAATATCATTTAATCAACAAATGTTAGTGTGATATTTTGTGAATGTTGAGTCAGCAATTACACTATTGTGTTCCTGTGATTTTATTTTATTTTGTCATATTGCATTCTAACTTCTGACCAATCTTAGATATTCAGACAAAATCCAGCTCTTTCAGGGGATGGGTGTTTGACCTTCATTTTCATACATTTTAATGTTCAACTATTTGACACAGGAATGCACAATATTATCAGCATGTATCGTATCGGCCGATATTAGCATTAAAGATAAATATTGGAACATCGGCCATTCCAGCAAAATAACTCACAAATATAAAAGGCGCTGTTTATATACACACACACACACACACACACACACACACACACACACACACACACACACAATTTTCATAGTTTTCAAAGA